ATATATATATATATAGGCGTGTGTGTGTTGGGGGTATATATGCAAGTATGTATGTGTTTATGTATGTATGTATATGTTGTTATGTATATGTATATATATTATTATTATTATTATTATTAAATTATTATATTATATTATACATATATATATATACATATTGTCTGTGTCTCTATGTGCGTGTCTGTGTATATGTATATAAGTATGTGTATGTATACATGAATGCATGCAAATGTATATGCATATCTACAAATGTGTACTTGTCGGATACTTAGTCAAGACTTACATCCATTTTGATATTTCAAACCTTCTGGCTAGGAGTGGGCTGTATATAGGCAAATGAGATTCGAAGGTGGCTTCCAAGGGCGCACCAATAAATTAGTAGATGGATGTTATTCATTCTGGATGGGTGGGATCTTTCCACTTATAGGATACATGCAAAAGAATAGAGGTAATTTTTTTATCCTTCTCGTGTTCATTGTATTTTGTTGCGAGCTGATTTCCGCTATTATTTGATTCCGCTTTTTGAGTAATGAACATTCTGAAGAGCATGAAATGAGAGATAATATCTACGTATCAAGGTGTTACTTGGTGATAACACATTTCGGCTTTCAAAGCACCCGCTGCCCGGTGACGAGGTGCAGGTTCTTTGTAGTGTTCGCATTTATTACGATATTTGCTATCTCGTTTATCGTCAGGGTGGTTCTCATTGACTCTCTGTATTTGTAAATATCAACGCCACGGTGCACAGCTCGATTATCAACAGTATGTACACTGAGCTTTCAAACCATCCGTCACGGTTGAAGCATATGGGACAACATTTTCCACACTCGGCGGCTTCGGCGAGCATTGCATCTTTATTTTTTTGTATCTTTTGGAGTTATGAAAACAGACGAGATGAACTATCTGATGGAGTGCGAATGCATGATTGTTGGCAGTACAGCAACACAGTTAGGCAGCAAAAGCCGACAGCACAGATACCAATCACCGGTTGTGTGAAAGAATTTCATGCGCTCTACATATACAACCCTAATCCTATTTTTATTTATTTTTCAATGTTCGTGCTACACAGCCAAATCAGAAAGCACGCTGGTTAAAGAAGACTGGCTGTTCAACAGAAGTATGTCTGTAATCAATCTTGTGGCAATGCGCATTCCTGAGCATGCGCTGGGTGCTCCATTATTTGGTCGAAAACAGTTTAACCACTATGTTTGATACACAACGGCACTATGTCTAATTGTATTACAAGTGTTGGCCTGTCGTTTTAGGCTGGATGATTCAGATCTCTACCTATGAATGATACTGAGATATCATATTGTTTCCAATACTGTGTTGAATAATTGTCATTCTCGATCTCCATTTACAGTTGCACTGCAAGAATACATCTTATTCGCTTGTCAAGAACCTTTCGGAGGCTGCATCGATAAGCCCGGGAAGTAAGTTTCTTTGTGCACAAATTACTTTGGAACTATGATCTAACTTCTTCAGCCTTTGTATTTGGTTATGATTTGCCCATACCAAACTTGCTGTTCGTTTCTAGAGTACGGGCTGAATTATAAATATATTTCGTTGACTTCTGATGACAACCCTTTCGCTTCCATATAATTATCATGCATATTCCACAGAAGCCGTGACTTCTACCATACGTGTTACGTGCTAAGCGGATTATCAGTGGCACAACACTATGCCGAAGAGAACGAGCGCGAGTCTACTTTGTTTATTGGGGAGATCGGGAACATAGTGGTAAGTTCGTTTTGTTTACAGATACACTCAAACAAACTATGTATAGGCCATTACCAACAGGAATGCGCTACAATCGCGAAATAACAAAACATCTTTTGTAAAGCTACTTGTGCGATTGGCCCTTCGAATCACTTTCATGTACTTGCACAGAAAACATTCATTGTTGGCGTTGTAGCTTTTGCATAGACACCCATCCCTTAACTGTTGAGCTCAGAACGCGCTGTATCTCTTCTCTATAAACCACAGGAAACAATCGATCTCTTCCACAATATAACCACAAAATCGTACAGAACGACGATAGAGCTGTTTGAGATTCTTGGAGCGGATACGTAAAGTTCAGTAACAAATAAAAATAAAAAATTTCGAAAGACACGTATTGCAAGAGCTATTTTTAAAGGCGTACATTATCTCCACTCTGACGACTATATGTAATAATATATTGCACTTTAGGGCAATGTGGAGTACTTTCTCCACTTCGAATAGACACAATTTATAAGGGTACATTCTCTCCACTCTGATAGACAGATAGCTGCTAAGGATACAATGAACTTTAGGACATAAAGAAGTACTTTCCTCACTTGGAATAGACACAAATACTTCCGAATCACAGCCAGCCATTCAGTGATACTTCGCATACAACCACACATTGCAACCCCACCCTAGCCCTCCCCCAACAACCCGAATAGAGATAAGCGTGGTAAATTTTACAGTCGTTTTTTTATTGACCATATTCTAAATGAACATAATAAAACCCCACGCGACTCACTACTTAAAGCTCGTCGTGCTCGTCCTCATCATCGACATCAAAGTCACCATTGCCGGCACCTCCCTCGTACATGCCTGAGATAATGGGGTGTACAATCTTCTCTAGCTTCTTCTTCTCGTCATTCAACTCCTCAGCCTCGGCCTCGGGGTTGCTGTCCAGGAACTCGATGGCCTCGTCAGCAGCATCGATAATGGACTTCTTGTCATCTTCGGAAAGCTTGGTGCCAAGCTTGTCATCATCTTCGGCCTGTGGTGAAAATGGCAATATTATGAGTAAACATGTACGATATTGCTATATGCTGTGCTATATATATATATATATATATATGCGCGTGTGTCTGTATGTATAATGTGTGTATATATATATTAATATATATGTATAATGCATATATATATATCTAATTAAATACATATATATATAATTCAAAACAACTATTACAGTACTTGTGCACACTTGATTCAAAACCAACTCCCATTCTTACGGCCACAACCCAACCACAAACTCGGCAAGTTTTACTCGATATTTAAATGTTTCCTTCCGAAATATAAACGAATATTCGCAACAGAATCTAAAATCATTTGATATAATTGATACTGTGCAGGACGCAATTCAGAGGTCGAAAACGCCCACAACAGAATAGAATATGCATACTATAAAAATACACTATGAATATACTACAATAATGCAAGTATTTCTGTATGACGAGATGTTTGCAGTGGATTCAACAACGTACCTGTCCCTTGACGCTGTAGGCGTATGACTCAAGACCGTTCCGGGCATCGACCTTGTCCTTGATCTTCTTGTCCTCGTCCGCGAACTTCTCGGCATCAGCAATCATCTTCTCGATATCCTCGGGCGTTAGACGGTTCTGGTCGTTGGTGATAGTGATCTCCTCCTTCTTTCCAGAGCCCTTCTCCTCGGCGGATACACGCAGGATACCGTTGACATCTACTTCGAAGGTCACATCAATCTGTGGCACTCCACGGGGTGCAGAGGGAATACCGTTCAGGTCGAATTGACCCAGAAGATGGTTATCCTTGGTCATAGGACGTTCACCCTCGTACACCTTGATGGTTACCGTGGGCTGGTTATCAGCAGCGGTGGAGAAGATCTGAGACTTCTTGGCGGGAACAACGTTGTTACGGCCGATAAGCTTGGTCATGACTCCACCAACGGTCTCGATACCGAGAGTAAGAGGGTTCACATCGATCAGCAGGATGTCCTTAAGCTCGGATGTGGCACCACCAAGGATACCTCCCTGAACGGCGGCTCCGTAGGCAACAGCCTCATCGGGGTTGATACCACGGTTGGGCTCCTTGCCGTTGAATAGACCCTTGACTAGCTGTTGCACCTTGGGGATACGAGTGGATCCTCCAACCATTACAATCTCATCGATCTCGTTCTTGGCAAGGTCGGAATCCTTCAGTACCTTCTTTACTGGATCAAGAGTGGACTTGAACAAATCGTTGTTGAGCTCCTCGAACTTGGCACGGGTGAGCGTCTCGGAGAAATCAATACCGTCGTAAAGTGACTCAATCTCCAGACGGGCCTGATGCTGAGAGGATAGCGCACGCTTAGCCTTTTCGACCTCACGACGCAGCTTCTGCACGGAACGGTCGTCCTTGGCAAGATCCTTGTTGTTCTTTTTCTTGAAGATCTCCATGAAGTGCTTGATCACACGCTGATCGAAATCCTCACCTCCCAAGTGCGTGTTACCACTGGTGGCCAGCACCTCGAACACACCGGAATCAATGGCTAGAAGGGACACATCGAAGGTTCCACCTCCGAGATCGAACACTAGAATGTTTTTCTCGCCATCCTGCTTGTCCAACCCATATGCAATGGCGGCGGCTGTGGGCTCGTTGATGATACGCAGAACGATAAGTCCGGCAATCACACCGGCATCCTTAGTGGCCTGACGCTGAGCATCGTTAAAGTACGCGGGCACGGTAACAACAGCGTGTGTGACTTCGTGGCCAAGGAACGCCTCGGCGGTCTCCTTCATGTTGGTCAACACCATAGCGGACACCTCCTCGGGGGCAAGTACCTTCTTACCGACTGACGTGTTCACCTCGATGTGGGGCTTCTGGTTCTTCTCGATCAGTGTGAAGGGGAAATACTTGCGATCATCTTGTACGGCCTTGTCCGTCCAGTCACGTCCGATAAGACGCTTGGCATCGAAGATGGTGTTCTTGGGGTTTGATGTAAGCTGATTCTTGGCGGCATCTCCAACTAGACGCTCACCCTCCTCAGTGAAAGCGACGTATGAAGGGGTGATACGGTTACCTGTGGGTAGAAAGGCATGTCATAACCATCAGAACACCAGAAAGTAGTATATATATCTTCTAATTGCGATCCAAAATAGGGACAAACATTTGAGAGTTGAAACTATAACAGAGTAAGAAACCAAATCACCTTGCATAACAGTGAGCGTTTCATTCAGAGCTACAAATAACACTACTAGAAACAAACTAAGTCGTCGGTAAAGGCTATCGTTCTCATAACAGCCCAAACACGTTAATGCACGAATATGATCTCACATTGAAGTCCCGGACGTCACTCTCGTCGCAATGGACTAAAAAGCCTGTGAAGAACATATAAAACCGACTAGGCACATACACATATGTAATCGATGATCGCACTATAGATCGCTTACATTCAAACTTCGTCCCCAACATTACTCAGACACGAACTGTGCAATATCTAAAGCAGAATATTATTCTACCGCATTGGCAGATAGAGCACTAAGCCATCAACGCTACTATCAATTTCGATAGGAATACATCCATACCTTGTGAGTTAGGGATGATCTCTACACGGCCGTTCTGGAAAACACCTACACACGAGTATGTGGTACCCAGATCGATACCGATCACGGTACCATAGTCATTCTTCTTCTCGGCCTTCTCGGCCTTCTCGGCAGCCTCGTCACCGAAGGAGGTACCTACGCACGCGAGTGCTAATAAAGAGAGACCGTACTGAAATGCTTTCATTTTGTATATAGTAACTGTCTGGTAACTAGTGTACTTATCGCTACACTATTATAGGTATGAGAGGTTTTGCGGATATATTTGTTTACAATTTCGTCGACACTTTTTTTTTCACTTTCCCGATTTTTTTCACAGTAGTAGGTACAGTGTACTGTTATTTATTTTTTATTGTGTATATTGACACAGTCCCAGGACCCAGTCCCAAACTCTTCGCCTCTTCGGTCAGTACTCGGTACACCGGAGGCGAAGGAGAGAAAAGCAGATCCCGATCTTTGTCCTTTACCTGATTGGCTGGGGTGTTCCATATCCCACGCGATATTATTGAAAAAAAGGAAAATACACAGAAACCCCCTCAGGCCTCAAGCCATAGTAAGGACCCCTTCTTACACACCGGGGGGGGTTTATTCACTCTCAGACTCAGAGTCTCAGTCTCTCAGACCTCAAACTCGAAGGCTCAAATCGAGCAGCGGCCAGGCAACAGCTTTCATCACAGGGCACAGGCCAAGCATCACACTCGCCAATCCAATGATTTCAGTTCGCAGTTGTTCACAATGGGCTCCCGAAGGACGAAAAACTGAAAATGTGCACAAATAAAGCAAGATTCTAGTTCGGTACTACTACTCTATTGCGGATCCAAGGCAACGGCGACACCAAGCTCTTGTATATCGGATCATCAATAAATGCATGATGCAGTTGGTTTGCTTTTTGCGTGCATAAACTTATGTAGACGGAATACATGCATACTTTTTTTATGTGTATTTTTGTGATTAGTATGTACCGTACCTGTGTAAATATTAAGTACGTGTGTGTACGTGTGATACATAAGCATACGTGCATATATAGGCATAAATAAGTTTAGTATATTGAGATCACATTCGACCGCTAATTTGGCGATATAGCGTATTACGTTGATATATAGTCCTGTTCCTTTTAGCTAGCGGTTTCAAGCCATGTCGACCATTCCACAACTGTGTTCAGCAGCAACACAGCCTCCTACCATATCGGCCCTACCCGATGATCTAGATGTACTGATTGGTATGCTTCGCCGAGGACACACCCAGTATAACAATCTCCGAACTACTTATCTACATATATTACGGACTTTTGAACATGCCAGACACCATTGGGAACTTCTTGTTACCATGGAGAGGAAATTGAGTGAAGCAGAGAAGGTGTTGAGCACGGTGAGTTCTGATAAATAAATGTTTTCATCAGCAAGTAGTCTTTCATTTTGCGTGCAAAATTGATCAATGCCTACAATTAGATGGCTGTTTTATGTTCATATAGCTGGTACGATTGAACTATTTCTAAGTTTGGGACTAATAGCTATATCCACGTTTGTGACTAATATTTGGATGGGTGTTCCAAAGAAAAATAGCTAAGGTATTTTATACCAGTAATATTTTTGCATTAAAAGGAGTGGCTGTGGTTTCCATTCAGAATGGCAATTTCCCAATTCGTTTGCGTAACAACGAGTACAGTTTCCATATATAAAACTCCCTCTCATGATATACTACAGGGAAATTCCATAATTTGAGCACAAAGTGTACTTGAATTCCTGCTTCCCTATGTGTACCCCAAGCGTATATTTATGCTCCAATGGTTCTTATGCAAGGTCGATTATATAATACTATATTACAGACATATATCCATCTCTAACTCTGAGAGCTTTTTTGCGCCATATAGCATACTGCAGCAGAAAAGGAGTTGATGACTATTTTCAAGGATTTGAGACTTGTGTCGACGAACAGGATGAAGCGTGTAGATTCTAGCCATGTATGGCACCGGAAGAAAAAGGTATGCCTAATCACAGCATCAATTAAGGATTCAGTTGGTTGTTTTGCGAATTTGGTGACGAATATCTCTGATATGGCCTTTACCTAGACGGCAAGCATAATATTACAGTATTCTGTTATATGTTTATAGCCTCTGCGCGAATCTGTGTGGCAAACGTATGAACTGATAGTAATTGTGAAAACACCTTGGCCGATGTTCATCCCTATGTGCTCATTTATGTATATATTTAGACCAACGCCGCCAAGGCAGCTATGGCCGCACTGTGCAAGTCGTTTCCCGATAGAGTGCGTGTGAAGAACATCGCTTTCTCCATATCAATGACCGCGGACGACAGTCCCCTCGATAGGGACATGTGGGTGATGAATGAGAACCTCGAGACAATGCGAGTGGCTGACAGAGATGACACCACATATATATTACGTCATCCAGTACCGAACTCCGAATATGTCGATACCAACGGAAAATGCAACTCCACCGCACACCAAAAGTATGGTGGTACCGGTCGATATTTGGATGAAATTTATAACACAGCGATAGAACACGACAACCTCTTCAAAAAACCTTGGAAGAGAAAGTCGAAAAACTGCATGGGAAGGGAGAATGTGAGGGCTGAGAATATATACCACAGGGATGATTATACTAATGAATGTAGTGATGTCGAGTATGAAGACTGCGATAGCAGCGATGCTGATGAGTGTGTTGGCAACACTCTTGGAAATAACATACCGCTAGGTATAAACAAATAACTCGAGATATAATTCCGTACTGCTGTTTGCATATCCTATCGTATTTCATTGATACACCTAGCTCATGGGACGGAACTTGGGCCAGGCGACTTCATTGGGGAGAATACATGACTATGTTGGGAAGACTCTGTGATTGCTCTCTATGATATATGTTGTAAGCCACTGTACTTGTTGAATGTGAACGGTGTCCTAAGAACTAACCCAAGCTCTAGAAAAGAGCGAATCCCTTACAATAGCGTACACTGCAACAATACTTAGTAGAAGTCAAGCGAAGCTCTCAAACTGCATGGATGTTTACTATGAAGCTAACTGCACCAGTATATCGGTAATGATAGCACCAGCCTAGTGCATGAGTTGTGAAGATAATCACAAATCATAACTCGGTTTCTAGAATTGAGGCACTCGATGGTATATCGATCTCTTGATCTTCCTATCGTAAATTTTAATGGATTTCACGCTGCTGCTTGATAGACGTGCTTCTTTTTGTGTCTACTTATTTTTGTTCAAGGAATACTGTACTTCATATAGCGAGTCCCTATAACCAAAGTTCATTTTCGGATCTGCAGGAAATCATATAACCTGCAACTATAATTGTTCTCCAAATCACATATTTGCTAAGTTTAATTCGAAGTTCAATCTATTTACAATTCACTAATCTTACTTAAGTGTAATATAGCTTTTCATCAACTAGGTACAGCGTGAGCATGAGAGAAACTTACACCTTCCTGCATTATCGTACGACCCCAGCACCAACGAGAATACCCGGCGACCACGCACAGTATTCCAAATAGTAGTGCCGCTGGTAAGATACACAGTACATGCACTGCATATAACGTGGTCTGTGAAACAAAGAATGTTGCGATGTGAGGATGCAAAACAATAAGGATGGAAACAATGTAAAGCGAAAAACACATCCAAATAATATTGCTACGTGAGGGTGCAACCAAAGAAGGAGTGAAACAATATAAAGCTAACACGGCCTGCATATTAGGGTTATTTCACAGCGAGGCTTCCAAGCTACAAGTGCACTAACCGTCAGCACGGAGAGGAGATGCGAACCACCTGCGTACAAGAAGTACTTTACAGAGCCCTTTTTGAAGCCGATGTATCCCAGGATCATCCAAAGTATGTTCAGCAGCACAAACATGCAATCCGCGAAGGCTGTGTTGCGTGAAGGGCAAAAGTAAGAATGCATTACGTAGTGACTCGACTTTGGGGTTCGCTAAAGAATTGAAGAATGTTCGAGCTAAAGATTATTCCGCGAGTAAAGTGGGTCTGCAGTCGAGTATTATAAATTGCGACGTGGTAGGTTAACGACGTAATTGCAACGCATCAGATGGCAAAAGATCAGCAGTAGTGTTTGTTGGGCCTGCTCGCTGGATACTCTACCGCTACGAATTGCAGCTTGCAAGAAAGATCACCAGAGATCGTTAATCCTTACCAGCGGCTAATACATACGACGTCCCATGGCATCCTGGGGACGGGACATTAGCTGCGCCTGCCGATGCCTGAATGGTTCCGATCGACTGCATTAGAATGTTCACAATACCTGCCCCCAGTCCTGAGGCTTTGATGTTTTGGGAGACAGACGTGTCAGTAAAGTCTAATCATTGCAACTCCCAATGAAGCAAAACCCTAAATGAGAAGAAATCATAATACACAGCTCATCTGTTGTATTAAACTAACCTATAACGGCTTTAAGTTGATCGTGCAACGAATGTATCTTCATTGGTCCTTCCAACATGTGGCCCAACCACCGAGCCCTGTGTAGTGATATTTTGTGTCATTTTAATATTGCAATGGTTTCCGCATAAAATGTGCATAATACTGGTATCTACTGGCAGATAAAAAATCTATGCGCACACGCTCATGATTCTGGCATGTCATTATCAAAAATGTACACACCGATATAAGTGTCCGAATGAAAATTGTGTCCTATGTGCTGCATCCACATCCATATG